AAAAGGCTATAAGTTATCTCATTCTTTTGTCCTTAACAAGAAATGTCAGGATTCGATTTTTTTTCTAGGAGAGCAATTTCCTTCTTAATGAGCCTTGAGTTAGTACAAGTTTAAATTAATCAGAACTCTAAAATAGATATAATATAGGTTGGACATTGATCATTAGAAGAAGAAAGAGAGAAAAGAAAAGAAATTGAAGGATTGTTTACTCCAATTATTCAATCAATTTGCTTTGGTTTTTGGCAAGATTCGAAGAATCAATAAAAGGAAAGGATTCCAATATTATTAGCGAATCAAGAGAAAAGCTTTTCCCAATTATGTTCCATCACAAACAATTCTGTGTACAATTGATAGTATTATTTTGTAAGAAAATAAATAAAATTATCACTTTAATTTATTTATTTTTAAATAATTTATATTTGATGTGTAGAGATTGTTTGTACCATATGAAATGGTTATCTTAAAGTATAATAGTTCCTACTATATATTGTTAATTAGTATTTTTTTAATAAAATTATGTGTATTTGAAAATTTGTCATCATTAATATTTATAAAAAAGTATACGGAGATATGTAATTTATTAATGCATTGCCTCTGAATATTTCAATATCTTATTTTATGAACTATGATTTGTTCATTTGGTAAAATTATATAGCAATTATGAAAAAATTGATAGTTTACATAAATGGTGAGGTTTTCATGTTTACAAGAGAAAATGCAATTTAAAACTTATTGTTGAATACTAAATGTTTATGAAATTATAAGTATCTAAAAGTTTGTAATAACACACATTTATTAATGAAAGAAACAAAGAAATATGTTATTTAATTTATCAATGCGATATTTTAAGATTTCTCAATATCTTGTCTATGAATTATAATTTGCTCATTGATAAAATTGTATAAGAATTTGAAATTTTTTACAACTTATAAGCTTCTCATATATACAATAAAAAATACAACATGAAAAATTGAAATTTTATATTCAAATAATTTTTTTAATTTCAAATCAATCTAATTTTAAATCCAACAAAATAGACCTAAATATTGTTAGGATTTTGCGCTGATTTTCTTTCCTTATTTGAAGTTTATTTATTTCCTTAAAGAAAAATCAAAGTATTATCATAAATACTTGAACTTTTTTTGAAAGGAAAATATAATTTTCTTCCATATTTGGTTTATTCTTTCCTTAGAGGAATAGTTTGCAGATCTATAAATTGAAGATCCCTATTCTCATATCATAACACAATAGAATCCACAATGTAGTCGTTTAGAGACTTTAGTTTATGGAAAGATTTATTCTCTCATCAGTTTTAATATTTTTTCTTTTATATTAATTTTCATATAATAATATTATGTTTTACGTATAAGTTTTTGTTATCTGATTTATCATGTCTATGAATTGCAATTGTAAGCTTCCGCATGACGCCCTAATCACCATTCATAACCCAACAAGTGGTATCAGAGCACATGGTTCAAATATTTGATGGTTCAATGATTTAATGCTTAAGTGAGGTTGAAGATAGGCTCAAGTGGTTTCAAATCAATTTGTAACTAATTTGATGATAAAGAAGATTTTTGTCCATCTACATGTGGAGAAAATATTAAAACCATATTTTCAACATTCCTGTTGCTGCATCTTTGAAAATAAAAATAAAATATGTTTAAATCATTTTTAACTCATATATTTTAAACTTTATTTTTTAACCATGTCAAGCAGCAGTGATGAAGACTATGTGAACAACGAAGATTATCATGCATGTGAAGAAGGTGGATCAAGTTTTGTCAAGACAATCCGGCCAAAATGGGAGATTTGTTAGGGTTTTGCGCTGATTTTCTTTTCTTATTTGAAGTTTATTTATTTTCTTAAAGAAAAGTCAAAGTATTACCATAAATACTTGAACTTTTTCTGAAAGGAAAATATAATTTTCTTCCATATTTAGTTTATTATTTCCTTAGAGGAATAGTTTTGAGATCTATAAATTGAAGATCCCTATTCTCATAGCATAACACAATAGAATCTATAATATAGTCGTTTAGAGACTTTAGTTTATGGGAAATTTATTCTCTCATCAGTTTTAATATTTTTTTTCTTTTATATTAATTTTCATATAACAATATTATGTTTTTCATATAAGTTTTTGTTATCTGATTTATCATGTCTATGAATTGCAATTATAAGCTTCCGCATGACACACTAATCACCCTTCATAACCCAGCAAATATCTCACACAAATACAAAGGCGTTTAACACATGTCACAAAAGTTACATTACTTTTTATTCAAAAGAATTTGTTACTTTGTTTTTACTAATATAAAAAAGAGTATTTTAGTTCTTGTCTCGTTTTTTGTGTTGGCCTAAGTTAACCAATTTTAAATGTAAAATATTTCTGATTTTTCAAATTGCCATTTTAAAAATAAATAGATTAAGATTAAAAACGTGGGAAGGTGGAATTAATGTGCTTTATGTTTAGTTACCAAAAAGGAGTGTTCTATACTATGGTAGGTGAAGGATAGTTAAGCACGATAATATATTCATTTATAAATTTCTCAAAACATAAGTTTATGGGTGGTGTTCGATAAATAAAAGTTAATTTAATAGTTGTTGAATTTATATAAATTCATAAATGATCTTCTAGATCTGCCTTTATATAAAAAATAATGTAATTACTTCCCCCTTTCAAGTGATATTTTAGCACTTTCTAATTTATTATCTAAATAGTATTTTTTTTTAAATCAAGAAGATATTAAAAATATTCTACAATTATCATTGTTTAATAAATGTTAAATAACTTTCTAAAAAGTATTTCATTTTTTTTTTCATTTTTCTGTGCATAATAATATGCATTAAAGGGACCTTTGATAAAAAATTTATTTAATTTATATTATTAAGTTTTTTTTAGTGAATGTGTTAAATTCTTAAAAAATACTTTAAAAGGAAATAGAGGGAATACGAAATATTTGGTAAAAAGATTTTCTACTTTATGCTATATTTCAAAAGTTTCCAAAAGTAATAATAATAAAAGAAAGGGAAAAGGCTCAAATATGCCATCGAACTTTTAGAAAAGGTTCATCTATGCCATTCGTTAAAAGTTTGGCTCATCTATGTCATTACCGTTTAAGAAAAGGCTCATTCCAGATTTTTGATTTTTGATTATAAAAAAAAAAATGACGTGGCCGAATTATAATTGGCCACGTGTAAAAATGGTTTTTGCAAAACCACCGTTAAAAATAATGGCATGAATGAGCCTTTTCTTAAAGGGTAATGGCATAGATAAGCCAAACTTTTAACGGATGGCATAAATAAGCCTTTTCTAAAAGTTCGATGGCATATTTGAGCCTTTTCCCTAAAAGAAATAAAACCATAAAAGAAAGAAAGAAAGAAACAAAAGTATAAAACAAAACATTCATCAATGATTGAAATAGACATGCAACTAATTAACGTTAGATCTTTAAAACTCTTGTCTTATTTACACACACAAATCATATAATTTAATATACTTAATCATCAATTAATAACAATATGTAATTTAAATTTTAAAATATGTTATATTTTGACCATAATTGAATATATTACCTTTAAATATGAAGTAAATGTATCAATTTTACATATCATGAATGATTAAATAGTTAATAATTTATAAATATTCGTAAGTAAGGAAATTAAAAATGTAACTAAATGTGTCTAATTTAAGGGACCAAAAACACTAGTAAATCAAATTGTCTAATCAGTCAAAAGACATATTTGCCCTTGTTATAGAAGCCTAACATATTTTTACAAGCCTATGAACGAGCTATAATATAATTAGAGTCAATAGAAAAATTTATATTGATTCAATATGATTTACGAGTAATTTTCAAATATTTTATACATAACATTAAATTTTATCAGTTTGTCGTAATTTGTGTGATACTGCTATTAAACTTGAAACCATAACAATTGAAAAGAGTTTGTAAGTTTGACCAACATAATAACTATAGATTGAATATAGTGTAAAATCTTGTTGATTTATTATAATTTTCATGTCACAATTATCAAATTATTTTACTATATTTGACACTCAACTAAGGATATTTTAATTTCAAATTTTATCATTAAACATAAGAAAAATAATTTGCAAATAACTTTTAAATACCAATACAAAAAAGAATATATTTATGTAAACCCCTTCTCTTGTGTATATCTTTATTACTTATTTTCTATTCAATATTTATATTAAAATTTAAATTCATATTAAACATTATAATGCTTCCAAATAAAAATAATATTTTTATATAAAAAAAAAGTTAAATTTAAAACCTTCAATTATAAATTTTAAAATAGACTTATCATTGTATCTCAATACTTATGGATGGATTCCTTTCCTTTTAACTTCCTAGGAGCTCTCACCTCTTTTGCTTCCTTGGTCACTCGAACTTGCAACCTTCGAATTGAAAATGAAGAATGCTTACCATCCGAGCAACTCCCTCTCGTCTTTTAACGAGTCTTGATCACACTCATAAGTCGTTATTATCCGAGCAACAGTCTTTTGTCTTAACGAGTCGTACTCGTCATCCCTTTATATTAGAAAGAGTCTAATAAAATTTTATCTCACCACCTTAATTTCCGCTGTTTTCTTCGCGTCACACAAATGTCTTCCTAAAGTCCAAACTTTTTCTCATTTTCTTCTTAAATCTATTTGCCGGAACTCGCGGGTAATATTTTTGCTTTGTGGGGTTGTGTTAATTTCTCTGAAAATCAAAGAAAAGTCTCTGTTTTTTCTTGGGTTTGAGTAATCTTGAAAAGCTTTAGCTGAAATTACTGTTAATTTTAGCTTGTGGGTTTTGACTGTTGTCAGAAAATCTCGCCGGAATCATCGGTTTCCGGTCACCGGAAGCATAAAAATCAAAACTTTATGTTTTGTTTTTCCATATATAATACATAAAATCCCGTTTTTATCTCCCCTCTTCTCTTACCCTGTTTTTTTTTTTTTTGACTCTTTTTCATTCTTTGGTGAGAGAGAGAAAAAGTTTCTGTTTTTTTTTTCTTTTATTTTTTTCTCAATTTCTCTCTTTTTTGTGTTTTTCTTTTGTATAATTAATGACAATGGAAAAGGGTTCAATGCAATCAAATCTTGATTGTTTTCTTAATTGTACAACCCCATTAGTCCCATCTCAGTTTCTAGCCAAGGTTTGTTTTTTATTTGATAAATTTTATTTCTTGATTGTGTGTATAATTTTGTGTTTATATGATTATTATTTTTTTGGTTTTTGTTGGTGTAGAGTGAGATTAGAAACCTGAATAGGCTATGGCATCCATGGGAAACGGAAAAGGTGGAATATTTCAAGTTGGCTGATCTTTGGAATTGTTTTGATGAATGGAGTGCTTATGGGGCTGGAATACCTATTAGATTGGATACAGGGGAAACTTTGGTTCAATACTATGTTCCTTATCTTTCAGCAATTCAAATCTTTACCAGCACTTCACCTGCAAACTTTTTAAGGTATACCCCTTTTGTTTACATTCTTGTTTTATCTCAATTTGATCATAACACTAGAGTTTGGTTGTTGTTTGGGGGTGAGGGGGTTGTTGCTTCTTTAAATGTTTTTCTAAGAATTGGAAAGCTTGATCACGAACGGAGTCAGGTGGGGCCGAGGGGATTCATCTGAATTTTTATATGTAAATATAGTATATGTTGAACTCCTTGGTGAAAATCCTAGCTCCGCCGCCGAGGTTAATGCTTATGAACTATGTTGAGCTGGTCAAAATTTGGACAAGGTGGTTTCTTGATTTCTGTTGAAGTTTACACTGGTTTTAGAATTGTTGTTTATTTTGGTGATCATGTGTTTCTTGAAGTTTAGTCCTTCATAAGTTTGTTGATTGTAGCACTAGAATTTGGTTTGGATTGGGGGT